GGAACCGTCCACCGAGTACTGGGAGGTTATTGTCAAAAAAACCACGACAACCTCAAATACCGTGCAATCACAGGCTGGAAAGGTAAGCATTTCGAAGAACTCTGTGATGATTTGGTCTTTGATCTCAACCCAATTTGCTTCATGGGGACATAAAAATCAAGAAGCAGCGCTGGGATGATTTAATTTTTTTCCCTCCATTCTTTCTTTTTCCCAATTTTTACGAAATTCTCGAAGATTTCTTGCATTACAAGATATAAACAGTTAGGGTAAAGGTAAGAAATGTATACGACTTAATGGACCGAAACATTTCTTACTTTAATAATTCTTTTCATGTTTTCCATCATTCTTTCTTGTATTTTTTCTTTAACTTTAAATAAACAGTTAGATAGAAGTGTACTGTGCGCAATTCCATCACGATCAATTGGAATATTTTTTTGGTTATTGACATATATAAAGCTTTTGAATTATTTGGTTTACTGAAATTATCGCGACCCTAAAAGTTAATAAATTAGACAAGTAGTGTACCCTCTGTGTGTGTGTGTGTATGTGTGTGTGTGGGGGGGGGTGTGGAAACACCTAATTATATATGTGTATGTTTATAATTACATACAATAGCTAAAGTTATACAACGTAAATTAAGATAAGCAAAACAATACAAAAAGGGTGGCGAGGCTCTCGGGAGTGGGAGCTTCCCAGAGCAAAGTAAAGCAGTGAACTGTGCCGGAACCCCTCAGAACAAAGTAAAGTACAGAACAAAGTGGTGAACTGCGACTCTGGATCCCAGAGATGGGGAGGAGTGTTTTTATACCCTTGTGGTCAGAGATCACTAAGATTGCAAAACTTTAAAGTGGTAGGATGTCCAAAAGTTGAACCTGAGACTGGGGTGCTGCACCATAGTGACGCAATTGTTCCTTATGTAATTTCTAGCAAAAAGCCATAAATCATTATGTAACATGTTGTGTGACAAAACCATATTAGTCAAAGTGACTGTCGTTGTGGGGATTTGGCGTTAGTAAAATGTTACTGGGATACTCTCAACTGACGGATGCAAATGTGTCAGGTCCTTCAGTTCAAGGCTGCCTACCTCAAATTAGTACTCACGGCTTGTTCGTTGATTGTACGAAAAAGCATTCTTGAAGGCTATCTGACTTTTAATTTCTTGCTTTGTATCATTTACTGACATACGTTATGCACTAGCTGTATACATCTCCTCATCGGATTTTACTTTCTCGTGCAGTCGCAGTGATGTCCTGCACGCTTCGTGCTCCCTAATGAAAATTCGTGCTTGTTTTTATGCGTTTTGTGCTGTGTAACAGCAGTACAAAACGCATATTGTCGCGGGGATGTCTGTGTGTGTGTGTGTGTGTGTCCGCAGCAACTTGTCCGCTACTTTCAACTCGGGAACCACAAAAGCTAGGAAGCTGAAAATTTAGGGCGACGTTCCCCACCCACATGTGATCCCGCAAATTTAAATTCAGCTCCCCGTACCCGCGGGTAACAGGTATAGCCCCTGTGAAAGTTTTTTACGGGTAAGTTAATATCTCGGGAACCACGGAGTCTAGGAGGCTGAAATTTTTCTGAAAGTTTTTTACGGGTAAGTTAATATCTCGGGAACCACGGAGTCTAGGAGGCTGAAATTTTAGAGTAATGACCCCTGCCCACGCTCAACCTTGCCCATCCAAATTCAGCCCTTCCTTACCCGCGGGTAACACGCACGGCCCTGTGAAAATTTTGGCGGGTAAACTATTAACTAGGGAGTCACTGAAAGATATTCATCCTTCAAGGTTTCATGAAAATTTTGGCGGATAAACTATTAATTCGGGAATCACGGAAAGATATTATCCTTCAAGGTTTCATATTCAGCTTTCATACGCTGGTGCGTGAAATTTTTAACTGTTTTTCAATGTTTGAACTATTTTTGCATAGACAAAAGTACAAAGCAGTGAAAATCATTGATAGGCAG